CCCAGCCCCAGCCGCCCGCTGGTGGACACGCTTCTCGCTTGGCTTCTGCTGCCACCGGGTGGACTTTGGGCCTACCACAAGCCAAAGCAGAGCTTTGCCACTGCACCCGTGCTCCTCCCGACCCTGAGCTGCTCCGGATCACACGCGGTTCCTGGTGGGTGCGACCAATAAAAGCAGTGGTTGGGCGCAGAGCCTGCGGCACCCTGGAGATGGGTGCTCCTCACTGCCTGCAGAGCACCGAAACCCACCGGGAAAGAAAGGCTGGGTGTTGTGAACAAACGTCTTGGAGAAGTGGTGTCTGTGAGGGCGAGTGTGCAGAAATGCCCCGAGGTAGTAGGAAGTGAGCAGAGGAGGAGGAGTGTGTCGGGCCTGAGTGGCCGGGTGTTGGTACTGGGCAGGCTGAAGGGGTGGCTTCTGTGAGAAGCTGCTGGAGGCCCTCCCCATGTCCGATGGAGCCGTGTAACAGACGGCAGGTGCAACCTGCTTCAGCCAGACTGGCTGAGCAGAGCTTCCGTTGTCTGTGGGACCCAGCAGACACTGTTTCATCCATGAAAGATGCAGGAGGGATAGGGAAATGCTATGGAGGCCGTGAGGGCCAGCCGAAAGGAGGTGGAAGTCTGGACTAACAGGAGGCCGTGACCCCAGACTTTGTTCAGTCTGAGCACAGGTCTTCTCGTTTCCCGAGTGCCTTAGAAGTCCTGAGGAATTCATACTCTCATGCCATAGGAAAAGCACATTGCTCCTGGTTTTGCTGATGGGAGAGACCTTAAAATCCAGATTGTCGTATGTTTTGGAGCGGCTGCAGGGAAGTACACTGAGCGTAACGAGCTCACGAGCCGTCAGCCACGATGCCCTCCGTCTGGAGGGACTCTGAGCTGGCTCTCCTGCCTCCGGCGCAGCTCCTGGCCCTTTGCATGGGGTCAGGGCACGCCGAGAGGAGCCAGGGCTGCGCTCAGCAGTGGCCTCTGTGGGGCTGCGTGGCCCAGCCCCTGTCATGGCAGCACATCCCTGTGTTGCAGAGCTTCGTAGCTGGATTCAGTGATGTTGTGGCATTCAGAAACCAGGTTCGCAGGCTCGGTGTGAGGTGATTGCCGGGTTTTGAGGAGCTTCAGGAGGAACACACAACCGTAGCAGTTCATGGCTCCTGGAGAGGAGACAGGCCTGGCTGGAGCTGGCTCTGACGTGGCTTGGGATAACGATAGCCGAGGCCTTAACACCGTGCCGGGGGTGTGAACCCTCTACCTGGGTGCAGCAAGAAATTGAGCTTTCAGGTTCCTAACCGCTCTGATAATGACTGGAAACGAGCAACGTGTTGTTAAGGAGATAGTCTGGGGTTTGAGGTGACTGGTACCCTTCTGCTTGCCTAGAGCCCGAAGAGGAAAGCCTGCCTGGGCAGGTGATGCGGAGCAGCTTGAGCTTGTCTTAATGGCAGATGCCCTAAAAGGCAGAAAGAGCGGTCGGTCCCGTGGCGTAGCCTAAACCGGAGGACGGCTTTGCCTCTGCAGCATCCCTGGAATCAAAGCTCAGTGCAGAGGGCTCACGGGCTGCTCCCAAGAGGCTCTGTTGGGTTGAGAGCGTGTGCTCGTGTGTGTGCGCCTGCTTTCCCCCCGCAGCCTGCCCCGAGAGGGTCAGCAGGAGGTCGGTACGCAGCACGTGGGGGTGATGCTGCACCCTGCCAGGCGAGCAGGGACACGGGGGTCACACGTGGCATCCCCACGGCTCTTAGAAGTGCAGGCTGGGGGGGACGGGGATGAGACGAAAAGTCTCTCCTCAAGTAAATGCCTGTTTCTGAGAATGCCAAGTGCACACTAACATGAAACTGGACTGGGCTGCGGGAAATTTGGCTGAGGGAGCTGGGGGGGTTCAGCCTGGAGAAGAGGAGGCTCAGGGCAGACCTTATTGCTCCCTACAGCTCCCTGAAAGGAGGGTGCAGAGAGGGGGGTCGGTCTCTTCTCCCAAGGGACAAGTGATGGGACAAGAGGAAACGGCCTCAAGCTGTGCCAGGGGAGGGGTAGGTGGGATATCAGGGACAATGTCTTCCCGGAAAGGGCTGTCAGGATTGGAAGGGGCTGCCCAGGGAGGGGGGAGTCCCCATCCCGGGAGGGGTTTCAGAGCCGTGTGGACGAGGGGCTGAGGGACAGGGGTCAGTGGTGGGCTGGGCAGTGCTGGGGTGGGGTCGGGTGGTCTTCCAACTGAGTGGAAGAATTAATTAGTGTCCCACTTTGTGGCACATTAAGGTTGCTGAAATACTCCAGCGTGAACCAAAGCCCCAAACCCTCTGATCTAGGTGCCAGCCCTAACCCGGGACACGCAGTGTAGCTGAGCAGGATGTGGTGGGATCAGGTCGGGTATTTGTACAGGGCAGACGCTTCAGTCTTTCAAAGAAGGTGATAGTTTAAGTGTTCTGGTAAGGAAATCCCTGGCACCTTGGGAGACAGACGCGACCAGGGCGTTGGGCTCTAAGGGCTGTGTGCTGTAGGTGTATGGATAGCACAGCGTCCTGTGCTGATGGATCCCAGAGCGGAATGGAGCCTCATGCACCCCGAGGAGCGGTGGGGCAGAGTTGGGGCAGCTGTGCCCTCGCCAGAAACCCTGCCCTGGCACCCT